ATTGCTGAAATTTTGTATGCACGTCGTGCCACAGATAAGAAATAAAAATTCATAATGTTTCGTGTCACAACACTTGTAATAAATTCACACGAAGCCATTAAAGTCGCGAGGTGGAAGAAGCGCTAAATCGGCCACGGCCACCAACATCCGACTTTATCAACAAGGAATTATGCACAAAGACGTAACTTTATATTTTATAACTGGTGCCTATACGCCCGTAGATACGTCAAAAGACTAACAAATGCACAAAACGACTGCTCAAAGATTTTTATGGCGAAGAAACAGATAGTGACTACGGTTAACTAAGCGCGTTGTACACTCATACGTAATGTTTCGCGCACAGAATTCACGGTACGTAAGTAAAAGTGTTACAACTGAATATAAATACATTCAAGTGACAGAAATCAAGAAAAACAATTAAATATTCAATATGAATTGCAAAGTTAAAAACGTTTGCGAAAATTAAGCAACTTTTCGGACGCATTCAAAGGAGCGTACAGATGGCAGCATGTGTAAAAATAGTTTCCGAATTTGACTGCTGATGGCGTGGTGTTTCAGACAGGTAAATCAATAAACCTCCTACGCAGCGATTGGCTGACATCAGGGCACACAAACTCACGAACTCTTACGGAGAAAAAACTAAACTGAAAATTACGTGTTTCGATTTGATTGGCTAGACCTGTGTATCAGCTTTCAAATACGTGAGATCGATGTCAGCCCCGGAAGTGAAAGTCAGTCGTCATTGAATTTTGTCGAGAGGCAGTGCAGTCTCCGTGATTTAATGTTAGCCTAGGAATTTAGCTAAGAGTAATTAACCTTCTTAATTTCAAGCTTACGTATGTCGGTACTCAACAAATATGTTCATCGGGATAATTAGCAACATTTATTTTATTGCGATATATATGAAAGTACTTTGTGCTTCGTAGAGTGAAGACGAGAGGACGGTTCCCTTCCAGTGACGTATGCAAGATGGAGACATTTCACCTTTGGTCTAATGTATGTGTACGTGTGAATTGCAGAGATGTGACATTAAACTCCGTGAATCAACTTTCGACATTACACGTCTGCACAAAAGAGGAGTGTGTTTCCTATTGTGACAGCCAAGTAAACTCCACATGTACCTGATTCACAGGGGTTGGACGTGTCTAAATGTGACGTTTGTGTGCAAATGTATGCATATATATATTTCTGACAAGACGAATCTTTGTAACATCTGGATACATTATAGAATAAACTTTTGACATATGTACTAATTCTTCTTAAGCGTAAGCAGACCTCAAATGCATTCATCAACCATAATTGCGGAAAAACCTGCATAAGTGACGTGAGCCAAGTGTCTTTTGAGGTTAACAAAAAGGTAAATAATTTAAATTCCTTGAAGCGTAACGCTACGGTAGTGACTCAAACATAAGACTGTTCTATATTGTGAAAATAATAAAATATTTGAGTGTTTAATATCCCAAATCGATAATAGAACTCATACGATGCCTGAACATAAACAACTTGCATCACGTCACTGCGCATCACCTACTGCGCAGATGCCTCATTAACCTAACCTAACCTAACCCAACAGGTGTAATCCGAGTCACCTGAACATGGAGACCTGCGCATGAATTTTCGAAATAGACCATGGATGGTCGGAAATTGCTGAAATTTTGTATGCACGTCGTGCCACAGGTAAGTAATAAAAATTCATATTCTTTCGTGTCACAACACTTGTAATAAATTCACACGAAGCCATCAAAGTCGCGAGGTGGAAGAAACGCGGAATCAGATACAATCACTAATATCCGAATATTTCAACAAGGTGTTATGCACTTGAAATATTTTAAAATGATATTTTAACAACTATATTAGTGGTATTTACGCGTAAGCAGACCAAACATGCAAGTCAACAAATACAATTTAGTAAAATCAAGCTTAAATGACGTGAGCCAAGAGTCATTCGAAGTCAACAAGAATGTAATCAATGTAAAATCTTTGAAGTATAAAGCTATGGTAGTGGGTCAAACACAAGATTGTTCAATAATTTAGAAACATTGAAATATTTAAGTTTTTAATTTCCAGCAATCGATAATAGAACACATACGATGCCTTAACATAGACAACTTGCATCACGTCACTGCGCATCACCTACTGCGCAGATGACACATTAACCTAACCTAACCTAACCTAACCTAACCCAACAGGTGTAATCCGAGTCACCTGATCATGGCGACCTGCGCATGAATTTTCGAAATAGATCATGGATGGTCGGAAATTGCTGAAATTTTGTATGCACGTCGTGCCACAGATAAGAAATAAAAATTCATAATGTTTCGTGTCACAACACTTGTAATAAATTCACACGAAGCCAT